TGTCCACTGATGTAGTCACTCCATCATAGAAGGCCACTAGGTTGGTCAGGCAGGACTTGCCCTTGGTGAAGCCATGCTGTCTGTCTCGAATCACCTCCTTTGTCCTCCATGTGCCTTAGCATAGCTTCCAGGAGGATCTGTTCCATGATCTTCCCAGGCACAGAGGTGAGTCTGACTGGCCTGTAGTTCCCCGGGTCTTCCTTTTTTTCCTTTTTAAAAATGAGGGTTACGTTTCCCCTTTTCTCTCTGGCTTGGCGTCCATTGAGAAGCAAAGGTCCACAGATCTCAGTGTAATAGAGGCCTACTGACCTTCTGCCGTACAAGGGGAAGGGCTGAGCAAGGAAAGAGAGCAGTATGTACAAAAGCAAAGCTGGAAAACATGGAAACTGCTTTGGAGAGGGGCTGCACACATGCTTTTTGGTGAGAACGTGAAGCAAGAGAGACGGGGCTAGAGACATTCAGGGAATAGCAGTATCGGTTTAAGAAAGTTTGTGCTTTTAAGTGTGTCCGTGTGAGAAAGGAACAGATACTGTAACTGTGAGAGAGGAAGACATGAGCTGCGGGTGTCTGTGTGTCGTGTAGGTATGAGGCTGTGTGAATGGGGCACCCACCTCTGTGGGAGGTAGCTGGGCACCTGAGTCTTTTGTCCAGCTTTGAAAGTCCTAGCCCCCAAGGGGACTGTCTGTTTCTTGTGTGTCTCTGTGTGTGTGAAACAATGTCACCATGGCCCAGATTATGAATCCCTTTCCCTTGTTCGTACCTAAATGTCTCAGCTGACTCCAGTGTTCATATCAGTCAGGATACCAGTGCCTGACCTGTCTTACACCAGGATATATCTTTGAGTGAGTAGAACCAACAAGCCCCAAATGAGTGTCAAGGTCTCTTCCACCACCTTTTCCAGCATCTGTAAAGCTCTCAGCAGGTCCATGGTGTCTCTGATCCCAGAGGATGAAGATGCAGAGTGGGGAAGACAGAAACAGGGGATGTATCCATTAGCAAAGCTGGAGCTACCATTTTCCCAAAGTCTCAGCAGGCATGGGATGTGCCCTATGAGGCAAGGTAGAAGTGGGCAGCCTGCCTACATGTGTCTAGCTTCACCCAAACAACCTGGGGCGAATAACTTGTGTCTTGTGTCAAAGAGGCTGCCTACATCCCACACCTGGGTTTGCTGAGCAGCATCCCCTCAGGGTAAAGGCTTTAGATTTTTCTCCAGAGTGTCATTTCTTTCAGGCAATTTGAGGGAAATTGCAGGAGCCTGTAGTTTCAGGTTTTTTCTTGGCTTGGGATTTGTGTAATAAATGATGGCAAATCCAATGATGTGAGCAACATTCTTGTATCCCTTGAAAGCTAGTAACCTGCCTCCCTGTCACTCTGCTGTTATGAATGTCACACTGTGTGTCCCTCAGTGCAAAAGCCTTGGTTCTATGAAATGTGCCTCCGTGTTGTCATGCAGATGTGTGTGTTGGTCTCTACATACATGTTCTCAGCAGAGTGTTTGGCACCACCAACCCAGGACCTAAATGGGGCTACAGTCTCTGCCGTGTTGTGCCCCCCGCAGTGCCTTAGTACTATCCACAGCGGCACTCGTGTGACATGCTGGGTTTGGTCACTGCAACCTGTCTTGATATGGGTGCACACTTTTGTGCCTGTGACTTTCCAAATTGGGTCTCTTTTTTTGACACAGGATGCAGGAAAGAGCTGGTGATCCCCCTTGAGACCCTGTGAGGTGTAGACTGAGGGCTATTGTACCCCCAGTGCTCACTGCCCGCTCCCCTCCCCACTTACCCGCCTGTCCCTGTGGAAACAGAGTGATGAACCAGATGGGCCTAGGAGAGTTGTGTAATCTGTCTTTCTTTCTTTCTCTTTCCCTCCCTCTTTCCCCCACCAACGTTCTGGGGCAGAATCTGTTTGAGAGCATAAAGAACGAGCCATTCTCCATACCAGAGGATGATGGGAACGACCTCACGCATACTTTCTTCAACCCTAACCGTGAGGGCTGGCTCCTGAAACTAGGTAAGGGGGAGGACACCCCTAGCTCCTCTGAATTCCCCGCCTGCCTGCTTCCCATCACAAACCTCCCCCAGGAACCCACCAGTGTCTCCGCAGTTCTTCCCTCCCGTCTGCTGCGGTGGGGTGAGGCTGACACCTGCTGTTGAAACCAGCCGCCTGCTCCTCCTCCCTCTGCTCAAAAAGGGACTCAAAAAGATATCCCTCACCCCTCCCCATTCCCAGCCCCATCAGAGCAAAATTAGCTCCCTGTGTGTGGGTGTCCACCATACAGCATCACATCAGCAGTGAGCGCCACGGTTGCCTCCTTGGGGCTGGTCTACAGGGAGAGCTGGGAGGGTATGCCTGTGTGTGCATGTCTGGAGCTTGCGGCAGGGTGGGGGGGCTGGAAGGACAGAAAAATGTGTGACTAATGGCTTTTTAACCTCACCGCGGGGTGAGGCTGACACCTGCTGGTGAAACCAGCCGCCTGCTCCTCCTCCCTCTGCTCAAAAAGGGACTCAAAAAGATATCCCTCACCCCTCCCCATTCCCAGCCCCATCAGAGCAAAATTAGCTCCCTGTGTGTGGGTGTCCACCATATGGCATCACATCAGCAGTGAGCGCCACGGTTGCCTCCTTGGGGCTGGTCTACAGGGAGAGCTGGGAGGGTATGCCTGTGTGTGCATGTCTGGAGCTTGCGGCAGGGTGGGGGGGGCTGGAAGGACAGAAAAATGTGTGACTAATGGCTTTTGAACCTCACCGCCTTTAGGAGGACGTGTGAAAACCTGGAAACGCCGTTGGTTCATTCTGACTGATAACTGCCTGTACTACTTTGAATATACCACGGTAAAGGCTTAACTGCCGGTCGGAAAACCATGTCCTGGGTGGTTATGAGCCTCTGAGGGGCCAGGGAGGAGCAGAGGGTAGGGGGCAACTCTTTCCTTCTACCCTATGCTCCCAGACTGAACTCAGACCTCCCTTCTCTCCTGTGCTGTTTCCTCGCCTCTGGTCTTGAGGAGGAGAGAGGCTGGACACTGCAGCTATTGCTGTGATCTCCTGTTAACTAAGCTCCCCATTGTGTAAATGGAGGGGGGTCTCCCCAGGCATACGCTGCCCTTGTCACCCCCACAAAGGCACACGTCTGAGAAATCAGAGAGGCTCTAAATAGTGGCATAGATGTGGGGAGCATGTTGGGTGTTCATTCATGTTTCCTTGCCTTCAGGACAAAGAGCCTCTGGGCATTATCCCGCTGGAGAACCTATCAGTCCAGAAGGTGGATGATCCCAAAAAGCCAGTAAGTCTCCATTGCTTGGTACTCTGCCAACGCAGGCTCTCAGGTGGTCAGAGGGAAGAGAGGGTGTACACACCCTACTCTTACCATGCTTCTCAGAGGGAAGGTGCCATTCCAAACTGCCTTGTCCCCCCATCTAAACATGACGGTATCTAAACATGATTGTATTTTACCAGGGAAGATCTGGTGTGAACGGAGAGCTGTCCTTTGGCTGGCTGTATTGAATGTTTTCACATGTGTGTGTAGGGGTGCAGAGATGAGTGCACACAGCTGACTCCCTACTCATTTTGCACCTGGAGATGTGGGTTCAATTTCTCTCCCCAGGACTCTCCATAATGACTTACAGCACATGTAGACCAGGCAGTGCTGTGATGTTAGGAAACTGGCCCAGGAAGTGACGCTCTTTGTCTGTGCATCTTTTGTGGATACCCACTCTTTCATGTGTCATGACTCTGGGAAAAGTGCCTTCTATCTGTGTGGTGGCAGGCAGAAGAGAGGATGTTGCATCTACTTAAAAGGGGGAGAGATCTTCATGAGTGGAGCAGAGTGACAGATCCCAGAAGGTGTTTTCTGATAACTGTTGATGCTCCATCTCTCCATAAAGCCTGTTTTAGTGTCCAGTCCTTCCCAGGAGGGATGTATTTACCTAAGAGGGGTGACTTGGAGATCTAACTCATAGGGGGATTCTTGGGGTGGGGAAGGAAAAGCTCTGTTGCATTTCAGAGACAGAATGCTCTCCTCCCCTTTGGAAGCTCTCTGAGCCTGTCACCCATGGTTGAAGGCAGCATAGTCTTCTTGGTCCATCCTGTCCTCCCCTACTGCTCCATTTTATTCCCTTTCTGACAGAACTGCTTTGAGCTCTTCAATCCCAACTGCAAAGGGCAGAAGATCAAAGCCTGCAAAACAGATGGGGATGGGAAGGTGGTTGAAGGCAAGCATCAGTCCTACAAGATCTCAGCAGCCACACCAGCAGAACGTGATGAGTGGATTGAAGCAATCCGGTGAGGAGACCAGAACTGGAGGTCTGAGCTTGCCTTTGTTCAGCCCCAGGGACAAATGGTCACACAGTTCATTTGGTTACTAGAGCTTAAAAAAGGGAGTGGAAAGAAATGTTTGCAGTCTAGCAATGGTGGTACCTTTTGACTTCAAAGAGTTTCAAGGTCCCTTCTGGAGAATCTCTAGCCACAGCTAAATTCTCTGCTGTGGGTCTGCAGATCTCCAGCCCTACATTTTGGTGAGTGGTGTCTCTGTGCAAGTTCAGTTAGGTTGCCTATGCTGCTTTCCAGCATTAAATCTCTTACTTTTGCTCCCATTTCCTCTTATTTCCAGGACCAGCATCACACAGGATCCTTTCTATGATCTGGTCTCTGCCCGTAAGAAAAAGATTGCCAGCAAAAACTGAGCCCTGACCTGGTCACTGGCAGCAGGAAGATGTAGTTGTTGGACAGCTTCCCTCACATGCTGGGCTCTTCCAGTGAAGAAATTTGGGAGCATTGGTTCCCTCTGCCTCCCACTTGGCAGGAAGATGACTGACAGGACAACTTGCCAGATCTGCTTCTTCCCTTTCCAAACTGAAGGCAGAGGCGCAGGGTGCAATCCACTGAGGACTGTCAGAACCGTGGGCATGGCGTTTCCCATGTCCAAACATAAAGGCTCAACAGCAACTGGCCTTTGGGTTCTCCCATATAGCCCCAGGCATGTAGGATAGGATCTGAGAGGAGACAAGAATGTCTCCAGAATGTCTCCAGTCCATTCCGCCATCAAACCAGGCCTAGGTATTTTTCTGTGAGGAACCTTGTAGATGCTCTCGGAGCAGCCAAGCATGTTCCAGTCAGTTGCAGTGCAGAAAAGCCCCAGTGGTTTCCCTTCCACAAACAGATGTGTAGTGGTTGTGGAGAAGGGGCCGCTGATTTAAGACCTCACTGTGAAACCAGAGGCCAAGGGAAGATAAGAAGCCCTCTGTTCAGAAGAGAGCCCTCTTTACCTCTTCCTATAGCCATGAGGGCTGTAATCCTGGTAAGTCCCTGCTCTATAACTGAGTCATAGGTTTTAGAAAGTTGAAGATGTTGGATGGGGAGATAAGGGGTAACTGAGCGCAGAGAGGCTGTAGGACCAGGGAAGCAGCTCTCGGTCTTTTGTCTCTCTGTTTCGAGACTCAGAGACCACTACAGGTCTCCCTAGGGAAGAAACCCAAACACTAGCTCTCCTCCAGGCTGATGGCTCCCCAACAAAGGTTGCTTCCTTGTACCACCCCAGAGGCCTGGGCTTTGTATCTGAAAGGCCTGCAGCCAGAAGGCATGAAAAATTGGAGGTGCATACACACCACACACACACAGACACAGAGGCATTCCCATCTTCACACATTGGTTTCATCTGGAGTCTGGGTTTTTTTGTCTCTTGTGTAAAGAAAGAAATAAAAGTGCTTGAAACAAGCCCAAAACTCAGGGTAACATGATCGTTTTAGTGACAAAGGCAGAGGATGTGAGATAGAGTGTCATGTTCCTGTGCCTAGCAAAGCAGCCTGAGCACCACCGCAGCTCTGCACTGCACCCAAAATGCAGGCAGGCTGAGCGCGCGGCACAAGCAGGCAGCTGTTGGGCAGCGTGGGAGGGAGGAATAGTTAATGGGACAAGAGGAAAGATGCAGGGAGCTGTAGCACTGTGAGCTGGTAACAGCACAGAGGCAAATACCAGAGACTCGCTAGAGACAATTACACCTGCAGGGTTAAAGGACGTGATAAGCTATTGCTATTTCATCTGTTACCTTTTGGGTCTCTTCTAGTAAACACTGGTGCTGTCTCAGTCCCTTGCCTTTTTTCTTCCTGCAGAGGGCTCTATCTACCAGGCAATCTGCAGCAGGGCCAGCACGGCCTGATTATTCATTCTAGTTATTTTTGTCCAAGCCACAGGAATGTTGAATTAATTTCAAGAGACAGGGAGTGTATCTCGGAGTTGAAGCACGCGCTCACCCCAGAGAAGGAACGTGAAGGTTTTCTTCTGCTCACGCCTGCAAATGTCCCCTGCATTGAATCTCTTTGTCACTGATGTGATACGGAGTGAGTTTGCTGCCCACTGCTCTAGAGCACATGTGCTCACACACATTCACTCTTGCTTTGGGTTCAATGCAGGGAGGCAGGTCGTGTCCAGCGGTGGGAGGAGAAGTCAGAATACGGCCCCTTATCTTGGCAACATCTCCAATATATGTAAGAGTAATATAAATATGCACTTGATTGGTGAATGATGCCCCAGAGCCTAGGATTTGGGTGAGAAATGTCTGTTCTAGTGCCTCTCAGGCTTATGCTCTGTGTGACAAAAGCCATCAAAATGCAGCTTGGAGCCTCTCTTCTACCCACAATCTGGTCTTGGGTGAGGGAATCCAGGCTAAGCCCTCCCTAGAGTTTACCTGGATCATTCTTATGACAGCAGGGTCTATCCAAGCTCTTCCCAGTCCCTCCTCATCCCAAATCCTTGCAATTCTCTTCAGGCTGCCTATGTCCTTTCCCCTCCCTTCTTCCACCAGATATCCGTGCACTGCAGAGCAGAATTATTCTTAGTGGGGACAGGGTGTGAAGGACAACTTGTGAGAGGCAAAACAATGCACAGAGACAGGCAATTGTGTAATTCCCATCCATCAAACTAACCACAAGAGTCAGGAGGAGATGGACCAGGTTTCCTCTCTCCTAGAGAATGAGGTAGAGAAGGACAGTAAGTTTGAGTTTCCATTGCCTTTCCTTGGCTCCAGCACAGAAAATTCATTTCCAAATTCGTTGCTATACCATGTCCCCATCTCCTCAGTGCCATGAACACAATGGTACCTGATGTTGCCCACCAGCAGTGCAACATGTGCACTCTCCAAGTGATATCCCTGACCTCATGCCTGCTGAATAGCAGTGCGTTTGGTATTGGCCAGGGTGTCTCCAGGAGAGGTCTATAAAACCTGACTATCCACTCATATCCGTGTGCTTTGACACCGTGCTTGGAGCCCTTGCAAATTTATGACGGGAACGACTTGTGATACTAGAATGGCACCACCAGGGAATGTGTTGCTGGCCACCATCACACATTCCCTTTGCTGAGGGCAACTGCAGCACCATACACGTGAATGCATACACACAGACACACACAGAGCCCTTCAGGTGCTAAATCTGACAGATTGCTCTCTGGTAGATGTGTTCCTCTTTCTCATCATAGGCAGCGTATGTGGCTCACACAGACATACACGCAGAAGACTGACACTTATCCCCTGCCTGCCAAAGACTCCTGCACACACCCAGTAATTCATTTTCATAATAAATGTCCATCTATTTTAATAAAAGGGCTGGGAGGAAAATACTGCAGATGTGTGGAATAGACCACATCGCTGCATCCTCCCTCCCTTCTTCCCTTCCTCCTGTCCCCTGTTTATCAGCTCCTTTTTGGAAGGCTAATACATTTTTAAAAGGCTTTCTAGAAATTGTTTGCAGTGACAGAGATGGAGTAGCTGCGAGGAGAGCCAGCAGCCTCATTTAGTACAGCTTAGGTATCTAGCAAAGGGTAGAGAAAAACTCTGGGAAGTGGAGGGGAAGAGCGGTGTATGAATGGAGACAGACTGGACTGAGTTATGGATTCAGAGCCGACCAAAGGGCATGAGCTGAACCTGTCTTTTGCCAGGGGGTGAATGCCCTTGGTGATGGGAGCGCATGAGCAAATGGAGGCCTGTGGGAAGGCAAGACTCTGCAAGCGAGTTGGCCAGGAGTGGTGCTCAGTGGTGGGGTGGGAGCACCCATCTGAGATACGGTCCCTTCCTGGCAGGCCTGAAACTGCTCAGCTGTGTGTCACACACCCTTCAGCACAAAGGGAAAATCAAGCAGCTCTTTTCTGCTAGCTAAACAGGGTTATCTGGAGTGGGACTGCCAGCCTTTCAACTCCTTCTGTGATACACTGTGGGAGCCCCCACACCTCACCCCTCCGCAGCAGTGCAGGGATTGCCACCAAGAGGGGTCAAGAGGTTTGCCAGCTTGTCCCATAAACCTGGAGGAACAGAAGCTATTACGAGGGCCTCAAGGGGATGGGAGCCAGTCTTCATACCCTCTGGGATCAGATACTTGCATGGAAAGGAGCACAGCCCCACTGTATGGGAGCTGGTTTGAATGGTGCAGTCAGATTTGTGGGGCCAACAGGAGCAGTTCTTCCTGTCTCCCATTCTTTATGTTTGGTGGCTGGAAAGCAACTCATTACCTGAGTGTGGGGGACCCCTTGCTGCACTTCTTCTCTCTTAAAACTTTCTTTGAAAATGCATTTCACACAGAAAGTCCAGAGCACAAAGCTAAAGGGCAGGATGGCTCTTCAAAGGCACCATGGCCTCTGTGCTGTGCCTTGTTCTGTCTCACTTCTGTTTTCCAGCTTGACAGAGGGCCAGTCTCGGGGGCTGGAGGAAGCCCAGGCAGACCGGGGTTGAGACCTGATGAGGGTTTCTTGGAGTGTCATTGCTATCACATCTGCAGTGGCTCTGCTCTAAGTCCCTGCGACAGGGGCATGCAGCAGTCTCATCTCACCATGCCATTCCCACTCCTGCTGTGGCCCTGCGATGAAGATGAATGTGGCCTGTCCCAGGTTATCACATTCACATGTGTGTGAGCTTGTATACAGACATCAGTTTGCTCCTGAAGGCTGATGCTATTGGGCTAACTGCAAGGAGGCTATGTATGGTGGGACAGAGGGGTCTACAAGGAAAAAGTCAGGGAGGGTGGAGGAGTCTGGGTCTTGTGTGGGTAGTTGATGAAGAAGGGCTTGCAGTGACAAGAACATGGCTTTCACCTCAGCTCCAGACCAGGGGCGGCACGAATGTCAGGAACAAGGTATGGCATCCCTTGAACAGCCTGAGACATTTACTGCAGCCACTGTGTCACACCACCAAGGGGCACTCCATATCTCAACAGCTCTCCTCTTTCCATGGGGTTGAAGAGTAGTGTCGCTAGACCTGCCAGCCCAACACTTCAGGGAGAGAGTGGAGATGGTGCAAGGTGGCTATCACATCTAGGCCCTCAAGGGCACAGCATGTGCAGGGAGAGGACCATATGCCCTGCTGGCACAGCATGTCTTTGCTCCTCTACCTTGCTGAATAAGTGGGGTTACATGTCCCTTTCTGCATGTGAGTACAAACACAGGTATAGACGTGTGTGTGAGTGTGCTGTGTCCTGCACACTCATAGTCACATATACACAAGCACATCTGTGCGTACACAGGTACACACACAGTCCACATGCATCCCAGCCCAACGCCTCTCCTTGCCCTCTCCTTGCAGAAGGGCTCTGGCAAAATAGTCTGTAAGGGAAGAACAGAGATCACAGAGGTGCAGGGAAGGGCAGTCCTCGTGGGGTTGGACAGCAAGCAGTATGTGGGGAAAGGGAAGCAGGACAGACCGCAGTGAGGCCTACAGAGACCATAGGACTCCTGCCCCATGGGGGCTACACTAATGGGAACACAGCCCTCCACCTGGGACAGAATTTGGGGAAGGACTGTGTCATGGTCGTGGTGGCTATGTTAAGGGACATTACAAGGTGAGGCATTTAACAGTCCCCTCTTCCTTCTGAGGTACCAGGCTGACCTTAAGGCACCTACAGAAATGACATTTTCTGCTGCCTCTTTAACTATGATGGGTGGCAACAAGGTTCCTGGGGTTAGCTGAAGAGGTGGTGATTTGTGCAATTAATGTCTAATCAGTTCTATGAATATTTATTGCTAGTCAGCAATCTCCTGAGTGACAGTGAAGACCCATCTGATTGGAATCACATTCACAGTTAAACCAGAGCCGCCTCTGGGGTTCACAGGCCTCCCATTGGGGCAAAAGGCCCAAAAGGTATAACCATCCTACTGCACATGGGAGGCACAGGAACCACAGGCAAATTTTATTGAATCCTTTTTCAGGGGAGGAAAACCTGAGGTTTTAAAATTGACTGGCTGGGGAGAGACACCTTGAAATAGTCTAATATATTAACAAACTTAACCCAAGAGTGAGTTTGAGCTTGTTCTTTTTTTTATTTGTGCTCTCTCGTTTATCTTCTATTGCAATTATTGAATCTTTTCAGGGGAGGAAAACCTGAGGTTTTAAAATTGACTGGCTGGGGAGAGACACCTTGAAATAGTCTAATATATTAACAAACTTAACCCAAGAGTGAGTTTGAGCTTGTTCTTTTTTTTATTTGTGCTCTCTCGTTTATCTTCTATTGCAACATGGGAGAGAAAATAAAAGGGAGAGAAATATAAATTCCTGCAACTGTTTGAAGAGTCATGTAATAGTCAGAAATTTCTTGGAGCTTGTAATTGACCCTTCTTCCAACATGGCATAAAGTATACAGAAAGCTAGTATTTTATTTCCTCAAGAAATACTACTGTTTGGACTTTCTGTCATCATCATAATTGTGACACTTCTCAACTTTGCCCATATTTATGCTCC